CATGTGTTTTTGTCATTAGTTTAAATGTCACACGGTGTGGGTGATGGTTTCAATGATGTAAGTTAGTAAAAGTAAAGTATCCTTTGTAACCTGACGGTCCATGGGAAAGGTGAAGTAGAGTTCACTTGTTTTACTCGCTTCGGCTTATGAAGGGATGGTTTTGGTCATCACCATTCCCAGCCGTTTTTACTTTCCCTAACGTGGGCTAGGTACCCAACCGAGCTGGGTGGATTCAACATAATTCTACGGATCTGAACTTTAGACTTTGGGATTAATAATCATCTGCTCAATGTGTGAAAGAAAATATTTGTGGTTTATTTAGATGAAGGCCTGTGGTATCGACAGTGGCGTAGCGAGGTCGGGTGTCACCCGGTGCGGCACTTAATGGTGTCACCCCCCCAGAGGCGTAGCGACCCTTCCCGGGGACAAACTTTCAAATTTTCGATTTGCACCCCCCCCTCAAACTTTCGATTTGCACCCCCCTCAAGTTTTCGATTTGCACCCCCCCTCCCCCCGTTAAACTTTCGATTTGCACCCCCGTCAAGTTTTTCTCTATAAATTTTGCTATTTTTTGCCTTGGTGTCACCCCCCTAAATGGTGTCACCCGGTGCGGTCCGTACCCCCGCCCCCCCCCCCTCGCTACGCCCCTGGGTATCGATACTACTAAACAAGAGCTCGATACATCATGCCGACAGAGGGGTATTGACAGAAGTTCAACAAGGTATCAGACAAGCAGAGTAAAGTAATACTGTTCTCTAAATACCTGGGTCTGTTCAAGTTTTAGTTCTAGTTTATCTCATTTTTTTCATGATATCTTGATTTACCTCTTTACTAGTGGTTTCTATAGTTACCTTCCTTTCCCATTGTTTTTTTAGTTCATCTCCCTTTCTCGCTGCTTTATATTTTACCTCCTTTTCCCATTATTCTCTGGTTTACCTCCCTTTCCTATCATTCTCTTGTTTACCTCCCATCTCATGTTTTCTCCTGTTAACCTCTCTCTGACTTGCGATTCACCAAATTTAGCGATAAACGATAATACAATCTGAAAAATTATTGGTTGCCATTTTTATAAGTTTTTACTGAGAGAATGATCAAAACTATATCTCCATTTTGACCAGAATCTTGCAGAAATACCACCAGTAAAAGATTGATGGAATGACACATTAGTCTGGTATTGTGATTTTGTGAAAAGTTATTTGTATTGTATTTAAACGTTTAATACTATAAACGTTTTTATTCTTGTATTTTAAAATAACGGAAATTACTCAAAATTTGACAGAAGGCAGAAAATTAGTTTTACTTACATGTAAAATTTCATTTATCTATCGGAAATAGTACTCAAGTTATAGACTTTTGAAACATTCAAAGTAGAAAAAGTTCCACTTCCGTTTATCGGAAATTGCTCAAAAGTTGAAACTTATCTACAATTTTGATATAATACTTATATATGAAATTTCATCATCCGAGCTGTAACGGTACTCAAGTTATCATGTTTACAGACACACACACACATACACACACACATAGACATACGGACATGATTGCAAAACTATGTTTTTCCGACTCACGATTACAATACTTTCTCTATAGGCTTACTTCGTGTACGAGAAAGTAAAAAAGCATTCCGTTGTCGTTACATAATGAACAATTACCTCTAGTATCTTCGGAAATATTAAAACTTGTAGTAATAAGTGTAAACAATGGAGTAGCTTCCCTTCATCTGTCTCATAAGTATCATAGTGAAGTTTTTTTTTTATTTGTATTTCTTTCATAACTCTTCGCAGAGTACAGTCTACATTTTCATACAATATTTAACCATGCATCTTCCAACAGTAAGTAAAAAAAAAACTTCTTTAAACCTCTATATAACCTCTATATAGGTTTTAGTTTTAAACTTTTAGATCTGACAAATACATAAACATGTGAAAATTATCAGATTCTACAAGTTTTATTTTAAAAGTTTTACATTTGACAAATACATATCCATAGTGAGTAACCAAAAACAACACTGATTTAATTTTATTTTTTAACTAGTGGTTAAAAATCAAGTTTAAATATCAGAAAGGTTGTTCCAAAGTTTACTGTGTTATACAGCTTGTAGGCATACTAGTAACCTAAATAGTGTAGAAGAAATTAAAAAAAAAATGATAAAACTTGAAACTTGGTTCCTTGAACTTCGTTTCTGTTTTCGAAGTCCTCCTGAAAAATGTAACAATTAAATTTTAAAATTACTTTTGCTGTAAAGAAAATGTTTAATACATTAATCCTATGATCTCGCTCCTACCACGAATCAACAAGTTTTTTTTTAAAGAAATAAGCCACCATGTATCTTATACCGTAAAAGTGGCTAATCTAAAAACTTTTTTTCAAATTGACCAAAGTATTGATATCTGGTGATGCTGTAAAATACCAAACAGTGCAATTATAAAACAACATTAGCTAGCACTGATTGGGCGATATGATATTTGGAAACGGGTGTGTACACCTGTATGTTTAAGGGAATGTCTGTATGTCTATGTTTCTGTGTGAATGTGCATTTCTATATTTTTGTTTAGGCCTACATGCACACATAAAATCCCTATCCCCGAGCTGATTTCCCTTGTCATTATCCTCCTTCGCCTACAAGACTAACCTCTCACCCGAAATTAATATTAATAATAATACTAATAGTAATAATAACGTAATTCTAACATTCAGTCTTAAAAAAAAAAACTACTGGCATTCTCAGTCGATAATACTTAAGAAGTTCCACAGAACAAACCTCCTATGTGCAGGCGTAATTGTTGATAGCGTCGACCAGAGTCTCTTCGCACAAGATTTTCTAAAAAGTGAGAAAAGTTTACACACTAGATTTATAGATTCTTCCGTACCGTAGGCAAATGGTTAAAGTAGGACAAGCACCGTGAATGGAACTAGTAAAGTTGTATAAAGTTGTATAAAGTACATAAGTAAAAAAAGCAGAAAGTAAAGTAGAAACAAAGTGTTGCGTTTTGAATAATCTAAAGTTATGTCTTTAATTAACTCCATTTGGGTGATACTTTAACCTACATATGAACAACTTAGTTTTATTATTTCAGAACATGGTTTTCTTCGTTCCCGCTCGTAAAATTTAAACATGTAATAGGCTAATGATAAATAGAGTGGTCACAAAGAAGAGACTGACTATATAAAGTAACGAGTTAATAAAAAGGCCAAGGCTACAATATTTTCTAAAAGAAACTAGCGCATGAAAAATCCAGCACACAATCCTATATTGTCTGCACATTTTGAATAAACAGCATTTTAATATAAATAAATACAATTTTACTTACACCCTTCATCAAAGCTGATCGGGTCGTCGGCTTCTCACACTGTTAAAAAGAACAAATTTAAATAGGGAATTGTTTTTACGTCTTTTAACCGCAATATTTACATCACGTTTAAGATAACAAAGAATATGATGTGTGCATAAATGACGTCACTCTTTTTTGGACGATTTTTACCCCCCCCCCCTCCTCTCCGTCACCCATCGTTACAAAAAGCTAGACGTCACACCTCAGCCTACACCCCCCATCCCTCAAAATTGCTGTTGCATTTTTCTTAAAACATTGATTTTTTTTTCAAAACTCTTGACTGAGCTCGGTGAACATAAAGCATTTTAATCAATTTCTATTACAGTCAGAGGCGTAGCGACCCTTCCCGGCGCCCGGGGACGAACTTTTCGATTTGCACCCCCCATCAAACTTTCGATTTGCACCCCCCTCAAGATTTTGATTTGCACCCCCCCCTCATCAAACTTTCGATTTGCACCCCCCCTCGAGATTTTGATTTGCACATTTGCACCCCCCCTCAAACTTTCGATTTGCACCCCCCCTCGAGATTTCGATTTGCATTTGCACCCCCCCCCCCCCTCAAACTTTCGATTTGCACCCCCCTCAACCTTTCAATTTATTTTTCCAACCCATTTTGGCGCCCCCTATGGTCGGCGCCCGGGGAAATATGTCCCCCCCGCCCCCCCCCCCCCCACACTCGCTACGCTACTGATTCCAAAACGCGAAATTCGTTTCCTGGCATTACATTTTTATTCTGTGTGACATCTCACTATCTGTACCCCCTCCCCCACACCACACATTGTCACAACATTACGGACTTCTTACCCACAGCCAGTGTGACTTCATTTTAAGGACGACCCTGATAGGTGAGACATGATTTTAAGATAGGGGTCATCCATAAATGACGTCACGCTTTTTTGACGATTTTTACCTCCTCCCCTCCGTCACACGTCGTCACAAAAAGCCAGACCCCCCCCCCCTAAAATGACGTCACACCTCAGCCTACAACCCCCCAAATTGCAGTTGAATTTTTTTTAAACAGCTATATTTTTCCAAAATCTTGTCTGAACTCTGTCAAAATAGAGTATTTTAATCATTGTTATTACAATTTATTAAAACAGTTTTATAAAACGCAAAATAACGTCTGAAATTCTTTTTCTAACATTGCTTTTTTATAACTCAAAAATGTGACGTCGGACCATCTGACCCCCCTCCCCTCATCACACACTGTCACAAAATTACGGACCCCCCCTACGAGTGTGGCGTCATTTATGGACGACCCCATACATCAATACTCTTCAAATGTATATACGGATATCGAACTATTTCTCGCATTATATTGAATTAAAACCATGATGCTAATTTAACATAAAGTGTACATTTAAGAAATACATACGTCGACTCTATCCAAAAACTTCTTGCCCAGATTTAGCATGCTTTTCATGTAAGAAAACTGGGGAACGTCGTGCCAGGTTTTCTGAAAAATGTTTTCACTTCTAGAAGCCAAAATTATCTAGAGGTTTTTCACTAGTAGAGTCCATAATTGTCTAGAGGTTTATCTCTTACAAAAGTACCAAGTATGTTTAATCTACTACAGCTAAACTGTAAGCCACTACTTTCATTGTCAAAGTTTTTCACTAGTAGAGACCATACTTGTCTAGAGGTTTATCCCTTACTAAAGTACCAAGTATGTTTAATCTACTACAGCTAAACTGTAAGCCACTACTTTCAATGTCAATGTTTTTCACTAGTTGAGACCATAATTATCTAGAGCAGTGGTTCCCAACCTTTTTCGAGTGGCGACCCCCTTTCATAAAACGTAAGTGACCCGCGAACCCCATATAAGTAACAAGTCGAAATTAGTAAAGAAAATAATAAGCACTAAATTAATATTTTCTAGTAGACTTTCAATATGAATTATTCTTGATAACTGTTTTAATAAGATAAGCAAAATTACATGCTATTAACAAGCATTAACTAGCATTAACAATTAAATTTTGCACATTTAAAAATTCATCTTGGTATTCATCGGCAATGCTGGTAACATCAAGGAAAGCAGAGAATGGGTGACAATGCAGATTCGTCTTCTTTCAGCTCGGGGAAAATAACGCTGCAGTTCGTTGTCGAGAGATTCAATATGCACAGAATCCTTTAAAATTTTTATCTATTACACCACACTGCAGAGTTTCTCAAACATTGTAGTATTTCAAATATTTATTTTTCCTCGCCAATTTAGCAGCTTTGATGAAAATGCCAAGAGATTACCATGAAAAGAGATAATATTCGTTCCTTTATCAGGTTAAGCTTATGTTGATGTTCAAATATATCTGCTAGGTATGATACTCTCTCAAACCACACCATGTCGTTAAAGTATACCAAAAGGTCTTGTTTCCTTGCACTTCCAAGAACATCTTGATTTCATCTTTCAATTCAAAAACACGATTGACATTTCCTATTGAAAACCAGCGTACTGAAACATGACGCACCATCCGTACAAGCCCCACAGCCGTTTTCCCATTTTAATCCTCCAGTTTCAAAAAACGTATTTATTTTCTCCATGATATCTTCACAAAACATCAACTCTTATTTGCTAACATCTGAATGAATATATTTCACAAAGACAAGCAACTGCGAACACGAACTCAACATCTGTCGATTCGTCAACTTGAAATCAAACAATGGTGAAAGCTTGATTTCATTCTAAATTTGTCTTTTAACATAAGCCGCTGCATAGTATTATTAGACAGAGATATTTGTTGCATCTTTACTGCACTGGAATCCCCAAGAATTAATTTTACCATTTTCAGCATACATGGTTTGATGAGATTTTCTCCTTTGTGTGAGAGGTTTTTTGCTTGGCGATTTCGAATACTACTTCATATGATGCTTGCACTAATGCTGTGTTTTCTTGGTGAAAACGTTCCGTTCGATCAAGTCTCTGACGTTTGCAACTAGCTTCAAGCCGACGACAGAGGCGTAGCGACCCCTCCCGGCGCCCGGGGCGATCTTTCATTTTGGCGCCCCCTATATATATATATATATATATATATATATATATATATATATATATATATATATATATATATATATATATATATATATATATATGCGTGAGTGTGTTTGTGTGTGCGACAGTCTGGAAAAAAAATTAACAACTACGCTGATTGTCGTTCCCTAAAACTTCACTGGACGCCAATTAATTTCCCCTTAAGATGCCGAAACGAATAAAAAGTAGAAAACAAAAGAGCTTAGAACAGTGGGCTCCATCGAACCCGAGAGATTCGGTAATTCAGTCTCAGGGCTTCCGCGGAGGTCAAGACACACACCCGACTCATAGGATTCACGATCGGATTTTGTCATTGTGGACGATACAACTATTAAGGAGGGTTCGGTGATTGTGCACATGAAACTGGTGGGGTCCGGTATTCTAAAAATTTAAGAACCACTGCTTTAGAGTGTATTTTGTAGAAGGTTCAAGCCTTATTTGGTCTACTTTTGGTCGTGTCTTTAGAACAATTTCGATAATAGTAGGCCAATTTTGCATTTTTGAATTATCATTTAGGTTGAACAAAGTAATATTCAGTACAATATACTAATTTTCTACTCTCTTAAAATATTGGCAAAGAGTGTCGCTTCCCACCCACTCGCTCCGACCGTCTGCTATTTTACTGATCGGATAGCGATACAAGAATCTGTTATATTTATTTCTCTTTAATGCAGTGATCCAGGCAAGATGTAACGCAATCAAGTAAAAGTATCTGATCGATCACGATCAAGTTGAGAGAATCGTAAGAATCGTACAAAGAACTAGTCGCGTTATTACTTAGCAACACTGGGTAGTGAAATCGTACATTAAGTGTTAATACAATTGATTTCTTTTCTAAGTGTTAAAAGAGTTATCTAGCAACCGATCCAGTACAAATCCTGCGATTTTTGTTAGTGAAAAAGCGCCCAACTATCTTGGACAAAAATGGTAGAGCGGATTTTAAACGCCACTAACTCTTTTTATGTTACACAATCATAAAATACGCTTTAGTTCAATGGGTTTCTTTTCTGAGTGTTATCGGTTATTTATTCCTTAATCCGGTGTGATTTTTTTCGATTTTAGTCTTCGAAAAAGCGCCCCCCCCCTCCACACATTAAGTGTTAATACAATTGATTTCTTTTCTAAGTGTTAAAAGAGTTATCTAGCAACCGATCCAGTACAAATCCTGCGATTTTTGTTAGTGAAAAAGCGCCCAACCATCTTGGACAAAAATGGTAGAGCGGATTTTAAACGCCACTAACTCTTTTTATGTTACACAATCATAAAATACGCTTTAGTTCAATGGGTTTCTTTTCTGAGTGATATCGGTTATTTATTCCTTAATCCGGTGTGATTTTTTTCGATTTTAGTCTTCGAAAAAGCACCCCCCCCCCCCTCCACCTAGTAAAGCTGGAAAACGGTTTTTCCAGTTATTGTTTCTTAAAGATATACGTTTTACAGTTACACAATCAAGGTAGAAAACAGTTACATCAGTATGCAAAGGCTCTCAGCCGTTAAATTTCTTTACTTTTGACTGTTTATAATTCAAAACTGCAGCTTAAAATGAGCTTTTAATTTTTTTTCTACCCCTTTTGGCGCCCCCTTAGGGTCGGCGCCCGGGGCGGCCGCCCTCCCCGCCCTCCCCTAGCTACGCCTCTGGCCGACGAAAGAACTGCATATCTTTTTGGTGTGTTCTAAATGACTCGTCTCAAATTGACGTTTGGAAGTTTTCACAGACTCCTGACTAAGAACAACTTTGCACAGTACAAATTGTTTATTCTCTATTCCATTTCCAGTGATGTTAGTAATGCCGAATTTCAAATATTTTTCTAAATATTTATGTTTTTTATTCATTGCTAGAGTTTAGTCTACCAGTTGGCGACCCCTCAGATCTAGAGGTTTATCTCTTACTAAAGTACCAAGTATATTTAATCTACTACAGCTAAACTGTAAGCCACTACTTTCATTGTCAATGTTTTTCACTAGTTGAGACCATATTTATCTAGAGGTTATCTCTTACTAAAGTACCAAGTATGTTTAATCTACTACAGCTAAACTTTAAGCCACTACTTTCATTGTCAAAGAAAGGGCTTACCGCTGCCTCGTTGACGTCGGTTGGGTCCTCTTTAATATCCTAAAGAAAATTGTACACAAGTAAACGCCAAATTGAATGTTCTCTAATATTAAGTCTATCTTAAATTTAATGCAAATGGACCGACAAAGATACGGTTAGTTTTTGTTTAGAAGTCATGTCTGAGCTATACGTATTGTAAAATGTTTGGCTATTTGATAAACATTATTAAAATTTATGTTGAAGTTTGGAAAGTTTAATTAAAACAAATCGGGAAATAATTAGGATAAGATGGTAATGAGGGTTATAGATGGCAATGTAGAGACATATTGACACACACGTTTCAACACCATAGCGACTATAGACATGCCTATCTTCATAACATAGAGACATTAAGACATAAAGACACACACTTCACCCTAAGAGACATAAAAAACACGCCCATCTCTACAACATAACGACACAGAGACACGCCCATCTCCATAAAATAGAGACACGCCCATCTCTACAACATAGAGAGATATACACGCCCATCTCCTCAACATAACGACTTATAGACACACGCACAAACAGTAATTACAATGTAGTTAAACATATTATACCACAGCTTCCTCCTCTTGATTTTCCTCTTCGCCAGCCTCATGTAAGAGAAGAAAAAAATTACCTAGCTACATGAGAGATTCCAGCTGTTTTATCCCTTCACACTTTAGCAGTGCAATTACTCAACTCAACGTGGGTTTTTTTAAAAATTTCTAATGACATCGTTGGCGTAGCTGAACCAAATTATTGCAAAGAACGCTATATAAATACTGGTGTTTAAATTTCGCATACAGCGCTATAAAAATACAGGAATTTAACTGTCGCGCATACAACTACTGGAATTTACCGCATTATTATTATTATTATGGTCTGATACTTCGTCTATATAATGCCATCAGGGTTAATGACCAAATAGACTACACTATGCTTGTTATGACTAGAAAGATTACTACCTATACACTTCTAACCTTGTACTAATCTCACCCCCCCCCCTTCTCCAGTCCCCTTATAAAAAAACGTCTCATATAATACATGATTTTTAGAAATCTTTAGTCCTAACATTAAAAAGTATTCTGAAACTTTTATAACTGACCCAGATGTCACTCCCTCCCCCCTGCATACGATACTGAATTGACCCCTATAGACTAATTAACGGTTGGACGACTGAGCCCTGATTTCCTCAGCGCATGGGTAGCTACTCGCAAAGGTTGTTTTGTTGCCCGTGTATCTGGCCAATTCTCTCCACCCAGCGGCATCATCTGTTTCGCATGATCTTCCAAACGGAAACCTAAGCTGGTAATTTTATCGCCTTAAGAAGTTTGACTTAATTTTCTTGCATAAACAAGTTACTCTCTCCAGCTATCGAGACTCGTCTGGTTTGAAATCAGAATAAAATGTTCATGGGCAGGTGAAGTAGAGTTCGCCTGTTTCGGTGACCTGGGCATATGAAGGTATAGTGTGATCAGCACTATGCTAAGCCACCTTTACTTTTCCTAACCTGAGTTAGGTATCCATTAGAGCTGAGTACACTCAGGGACATTCTATTGACTTGAACCCTGATTACTTGAACCCTGATTCGAACTCGAGATATTCGGGTTAGCAGTCTAGCGCCCTACTGCAAGACCACACCTGGGCCTACAGCAACGTGTAATGAATGCCACTGTTTCACATTTTTTACCCCAGTCCTCGGTTGTTGCTTGAAGAGGGGGGGGGAGATTTACATACCTCACACGCCTCAACCCCACTAACCCCCCGACCCCACTAACCCCTGTAGAAAACAGTACTCACAGATGGAGGGCAGGTTTTAAAGTTGACGACATCAGCCATATACTGGACACACTTTTCAATCTGGACATTTTTAAACACAAAAAAAAAATCACAAAGACACTTGAAAATAAATACAATGTATTAAAAAAGGTATTTCAAACAAAAATTACACAGTGGATTAAAGAAAAATATTTTCAAAAATCTTTTATCACATTTAGTTGTTATTTGTCGAGTTACAGTTTTTTGAATCCTTCGAATGGTTACATGTTTTAATAAAAAAAAAACTGCATTTTTTCGAGTTTTTTTGGCTTTTCCGGGAAATCCAGGAAGGAATTCCGGGAATTTTTTTGGCCCACAATCATCCTCGGAACTTGCTTAACATATTTGCTTTTGGAACTAGTCCTCGATATTGCTTCGTTGAGGAGGAGATACGACTTAAAGCTGCGGACACACATCCATCCAGAAATAACGAGATAATAATCGCAATTGTCAGTATGGAAATTGCGCTAAAAAGTAAGTACGTTGGAGTTCGTATATTCTGAAAAATAATTAGTCATCATTTCAAACTCGAAACATTTTCCGGAAGTAATTTGACAACGTTTTGGCTTTTAAAGAAGATATAAAAAGAAAATTTTGGATTTGGCTAAAAACCTGGAGTAAGAAAGGAGAACTCACTTTGAAAGTAGCTTTAGGTATAATATTTGGTATGAAGCGTTCACACTGAAAGTATTCAAATATTTATTAACGGAGACAGGACAAATGATATCAGAACAAATGATCTGAGACAAAATATCCAAGACAAAATATCTCACGGACAAATAATCTCAGGACAAATTATCTCACGGACAAAAGATACCAGGACAAAATATACCAGGACAAACTATGCCATGGACAAATGATCTCAGACAAAACATCTCACAGTAAAATATTTATAGTATTTAGGATTACTTTAGTCGATTTTAATTTTTTTAATGTCATAAGGATATATTTGTTTTAGACGTATTTATTGTGAGATACTACATGAATGACTTAAACTTAATAAACAAACCTTACAAAGACTGAGTAAACACTTTAAAAAAAAGGAATTTATATGAAAGTATTAGACATAAAAATGCAAGACAAATACAATGATTAAGCTGTAAATTTACCAAATTAATTTCGAAACACGTGAATTAGTTTACAAAAGGGAAGTTTGGGTCTACAGGTTCGTAATATGAAATTCGTGTTTTTTATTGCATCGTCAACGCTGGCTGTTGATCAAACAGCGTAAATCTGACTTTAAACAAAAGTGCCTATGCCATCTTCGATGTAAAGAAAGAGGCCGCAGCTGAGCAATCAGCACTGATAGTGCTTAGTTTGCATGCACACAATGAATAACAACTCCGCAATAGCCGCTGTCGTTAAACAAGCATGTGTCAACTGATCACTAAGGTGTGACCGAAATATAACAATTTACTTTAGATGCTGGTTGTATTGTCCACGGTGGGCGGATGTGACAAACCTATGCGACAAACTTTTTCCCACAATTATTATGTGTAAAAAATGTAAGTAAAATCCTTAACACAGTCTATTTTTAAAATGTTAAAATAGACTAAAATAATCTCAAATACTATAACAGATTACCGTGAGATATTTTGTCTGAGATATTTTTTCTTTAGATTAATTGTCCATGGTATCATTTGTCCTGATATTATGTCCTGATATATTTTGTCCTGATATCTTTTGTCCGTGAGGTCATTTGTCCTGAGATCATTTGTCATGGAACCATATTAACAAAATACGTTATTGAATAAGTACACATATTATATTAGCCCTTATATATTCACAGATAAGTTATTTATGTTATATGCATTTATATATATATATATATATATATATATATATATATATATATATATATATATATATATGTATATGTTATATATACACGTATAAATGTCATATATATATATATATATATATATATATATATATATATATATATATATATATATATATATATATATATATAACCTACCCCCCAATTGCTGGTGAATCCCTTGGCAAAAGCAAGAAAGTCTGGAAGTTTGAATTCAGAGACTAGAGTCGTGACAGCCTAAGTCGAATTTACAAATGAAAATATACAAGTTTGTGATTGAAGTAACAACTTTGGCATTCAGACTTTTCCTAACACTCTCTAAATGTTTTCTTTTTTTTCTTTTACCACCATCAACGACCTGACACTGAAATACCCCATCCACTACAACCCCACCGTTAACTGTCTGAAACTCAACTACCCGACCCACAACTTCCCACTTTATCCACCTCTGCCTCCCCCAACACCTACAATAACAAACTCACAGTTTTGACGTGTGCCAACTTTACTCTCAGTCTATCTACGGGTATCGACATTTGATAGGCCTTTAGAACAAACAAAAAATTAATTATTTTCAAAGATTAGATGTTTATAACATGCACATAGGTATTTTACTTTAATAAAAACACACGCACCCATTTAATCTAAATGAAATAAAGTAAATATTTACAGAAAATCGAAGACTAACTTTTAAAGTTACCGATTTTCATATAAAAATTTTGTTCTGTAATCTGTAAATTACTATTTTCAAAAACAAACTCAAAAGCTGTCATTAAATGGTATATAATAATATTAGAGGTGTTCCAGGCATCACCTCGCCTACCAGTACCCGAACAAAATAGAATTTATGGAGAAAATATATACTTTTACCATTGTCCGCCCTACCCCCAATGAAAATTTAGTCCGCTCACCACAATTTTCACATGCCGATCCCCCCTCCTCCATCTCTGAATACAATATCTAAACGTAACACTGCAAGATAATAATTTCTAATGTACAATTTACGTTTTCCCCAACTAAAAATATGATCCGTTGTCAATAGAAAGTTATTGATAAATTGTAATGTACGCTATAATTTAAATTCAAAGCTTACAAATTGTCCCATGAGTAAGAGGATTGTCCTGTTGGATAGCGTGAACTGTAGAGATACAACAAAAGCTGATTTTAATTATGTAACCTGATGTTATCTGCCCTCAACAACAAACTACAGCCACAAAATGTTATCACCTCCCTTTATCAAAATGAAATATGAGTTATCTTTTACTTGGATTACACAACATCCACATTGTCATTATATTTTCCCTTTTGTTCCCAAGGACGTGGACCATCACTGATTGATAATTTTATAATTTAAAATAATTTAAAAATAGTATCAAACTAAAAACGTGACTAAAGTTGTTAGAAAAACGATTACAATTGGCAGGCCTTTAGTTGGTTTGTTTTTCGGAAATTAAAAAAAAAAAAAAGCTGGAGTCATCTCCCCTAAGCTTTCTCGAATATTCTTATATAACACTACGGGGATGGCAACTCAGGATATAGACCAGATTTTTAAATTTTTAAAATACAATATAATTTAGTAAAAAATAATAATTGCGCACAAAGTGAACAGCAAACAATATGTGTATAAAAGTGCGGAATATTAGTATTTTATAAATTCATATTAGTTTTTTGAGAAATCGGAAATAGCGTAAATTTCTACTTCCTGTCAACGGAAACTATTAAAAATTTGAAAGAGGGCAGCAAATTAGATCTTTTTACTTATTTGTGAAATTTCGTTTATCTATCTGAAAAAGTACTCAAGTTATAGGCTTTTGAAAAACCAAAAGTAGAATAAGTTCCACTTTCGGTTACCGGAAATCGCTGAAAAGTTGATACAGAACTACTAATTTGATATAATACTTATATATGAAATTTCATCATCCTAGCTTTAACGGTACTCGAGATATCGTGTTTACAGACATACACATACACACACACACATACACACACATACACACACAGACATAATGACAAAATTGCAAAACTGAGTTTTTCCGACTCAGGGAGTTTTTGCGCGATTACAATACTTCGTCTATACTTCGCATACGAGAAAGTAAAAAAAAAATACAATGTGTGAAATATTTCTGTCTTGTTTGCTTATTCATGAATGGGATAAACGATAAAAGCATTGGGTTAAGTTTAGCTTGGTGTATTATACTTTTATAGTATATAAAAAGATATTTCGTTTAAAAATTATGTTGATAACGTAACGAGTTGCCTTCTTATAAAAAGATATTTCGTCTAAAATGATGTTGATAACGTAACGAGTTGCCTTCTTATAAAAAGATATTTCGTCTAAAATGATGTTGATAACGTAACGAGTTGCCTTCTTATAAAAAGATATTTCGTCTAAAAATGATGTTGATAACGTAACGAGTTGCCTTCTTTTTACCCACTTGACACGTTGGGCAGAAGGCCTATGTCCTTTTATAAAGGGAAATATTTTTTAATTAACCAAAAATTGATTTCACAAACTTTAATCTAAGTAATCAGTTAATGTGTTTAAAAATTGCCATAGTAATTCTGAAATGTAGGATATATCGCGCCATAATTTAAATGTGGATACATTTATATTAATAGTTTTAAATGTTTAATGAGCAATTTTTATTACTTTCTTGTATATACGAAGTATAGAGAAAGTCTTGTAATCGTGCAAAAAAAAAAATCGAGATTTTCACAAATCTCGACGTTTTACACCTCACGTAATTTCGCATTCTTGTCCGTATGTCTGTGTGTCTGTGTGTGTGTGTGTGTGTGTGTGTGTCTGTCTGTGTGTAAACACGATAACTTGAGTACCGTTACAACTAGGGGGATGAAATTTCATACATAAGTATCAAAATCGTAGAGTGATTTCCGATAACCGGAAGTGGTACTTTTTCTACTTTGAATTTTTAAAAAGCCTATAACTTGAGTACTATTTCAAATAGATAAATGAAATTTCACAAGTAAGTAAAAGATCTAATTCTCTACCTTCTTTCAAATTTTGAGTAATTTCCGTTTGACCGGAATTACTAATTTACGCTATTTCCGATTTCTAAAAAAAACGCATGTTAATTTATAAAGTACTAATAATATTGCGCACTATTATGCACATTCAAAATAAAAACGTTTTTTATCGGAAACTTTTCCTCAATAGAAATGTTTAAAACTTACAGGAGGCGCTTCATCTTGTGCTCTGTCGTTCACATCTCGTAATGAGTTCTACGTTGATTATATTTAAAAAAGGATAGAATAGCACGATTATTAGCAAATTTTAAATTAGATATCTACCGAATTAAAATTTTAATATAATTATAATACAAGAGATCTCTATTACAAAATGCAAATATTTTGTCTTTAGTTTTACAAAAGACACTTTGAAAAAAAACCACGGAATTAAGCCAGAATATCAAATAACACAACACGAAGTAAAATAACCCTTCTAATTTTTTTCTGTAACTTGATATAAGTAATCAATATTGTTACTTGTGACATTTTTTTATAACAATCTTCTTTATAGTTAAATAATTGCTAGTAATAGACAAGACAATATAAGAAAACGGATTACTGTAACTTTCGAACCAAATAATTTAATCATAGCAAATACTTTTAATAAAAACTTACATATCCAACTGGGTCTAATGGTTTCTAAAAAAACGGAAAGATGTACTTTTAATATAAAAAGTCAAAATTATCGGTGTGATCTTAAAAGTTTGATATTTATTTGCGTAAAATGAGTTTGAAATAATATATGATTTAATAGTATATTATGAATAATTGAATTAAAAAATATAATATAATATTTAAAGTAACTTGTTGTTAAAGTACTCTTGAAAAATAAAAATAAAAAGCTGCTTCCAACATACATGCTCTTCCTTATTTGCTGCATTCTGAAATAAAAAACAACAACATAAGTTGTAATATTTTTATTTAAAAAATTATTAAATGTTATTTACCAGTTAATTAATTGTGATGTCAAAGGCTATGCGTACCTTTAAATTCATAATTACCAACAATTAAATGTTGAAAAATAGGTAGCATCGAATTATTCCTATTGCTCATATCAAAGTGAAAGTCATATATGCAAATACTCTGCTAAATCAGCGCATTGTTAAAAAGAATTTTGAAAGGTTATAGCTTACGAGAATGTGACATTAACAATGAAAAAATAATATTGTGAATTTTAATTTCAGAATTTTTTCTTTACGACTACGTTTTAAAATAATTTCGTATTTTAGGTAGTTAATAGGACAATCCAAATTTAGTTGTTAACGGTCAATTATTAAAGTGTCCTAAAAAGAATGTAAGAACTTACTGATTTTTTTCCAAAAGTTCCACTGACATAGTTTAGTTGAGAGCTCTAGGTAATAATAATACATTTCAAACATTAACATTTAAAGCGTAATTGTTTCTCAATAATATTAAAATATCTCTCTTTTTTCAAAATGTGTTTCAATATTTATTTCGAATTTTGTTTTTTTAAAGTGATTTTGCTTAGAATGCGATTAAAAGTTTGAAAATACTTTCATAGCGATCAGAATGTGCTTAAGATTAAAAATAAATTATAATAATAAGTTCTACACATGTATGGTAAAATAAGGGTAGCATAATATTTGTATTTTTTTTCAAGCCTTATAAAATAAATTGTTAAAATTTATTTGGAACAATAAAAGCAACTTACAAGACCAGTAGACTTGCTCTTCATATCGTCCTAGATTACACGGAATTTAAAAAGAAGTAAGAAAAAAATTCAACACAGTTTTTATAGTTGCATTGTTATGTTTCAAGTTATAAACAGGAAAAGTTACTATGACTTAAAAATTAAAATAATCACTCACACAATACAAACTATATTTAAAAAAAAGATTATCAGTGTAAAAAAAAAATAAAAACATACCATTCCGAAGGGTCCCCTAGATTGCTAATCAAAAAGAAAAACAATTTAAGGGGATAGGCTCCCGAAAAAAACGGAGAAAAAAACTTTTTAAGTAATACGCCTTTTTCATTTATTTGTGTATGTATAAGTTAGGGTACTTAAGGAAAAATATTTGGATGTACCAGGGACTCTTCTGAAAATATGGTTGCCATGGAAACGGCGGCCATCTTGGAAAAACTACCTTTTGTGGAGTTCTAAAATTTCCTAAAGTAACAAATAAACCGCCCATATAATCATTGATCCTTATTGTACTAACACCAATAGAGTCAGCTGGCTAATTTCTGTAACCAAAAAACAGCTAGAAATATTTTTTTCAAATTTTCAAAAAAATATGTGGTGAAATTCCATTGAATTTAGCATTATTTTCATTGGAATTTCGTCACACCAAACTTTGAAAATTAAAAAAAAATATTTCTAGAGTGATTTCTGTTACAAAAACTAGCCAGCTGACTCTATTAGCGTTAGTACAAGAAGGATCAATGGTTATATAGCCGATATTTATGTTAGTTTATGAAATTTTAGAACTCCAGAAAATGATGTTTTTTTCAAGATGGCCGCCGTTGCCATGGCAACCATATTTTCAAAAAAGTCCCTGATGCATGGAAATATTTTCCTTCAAGTACCCTAAGTTGGATATACACAAATGAATCAATAAAAGGTTTTACTTAAGAAGTTGGTTTTTTCTGGAGCCTACCCCCTTAAAAAAAAATGTTTACTTTTTCAAATCAAATTTTATTACAATGATTAAGTTTAATAAATCTTTGATGCGATGCTTTGGTAAGTTTAACAAATACTTTTAATTCAAAATTATGCGTAAAAAAAAGTAAACAAAACCATATTGACAGTAAAAAAAAAAGTTCAAATCAACTGAAATCATCGTACATACTATTAAAATTTTGCTGTGAGATAGTTTGTCTGACGTCATTTGTCCATGGTATAAATTGTCCTAATATATTTTGTCCTGTTATCTTTTGTCCGTAAGATCATTTGTCTTGGGATCATTTGTCCTGAGATCATAATTTTGTCCTTTCACCATATTATGTACACACACACACACATATATGTATATATATATATATATATATATATATATATATATATATATATATATATATATATATATATATATATATATATATATATATATATATATATATAAAAGCAATGTATGTGTGTCTCTGTGTGTGTGTGTGTGTGTGCCTTTTATGCATTACCACACCTCTTATCACATCGCCGTGAAACTTTGGGAAGTTGTTGAGAATATTCCTGTGGAGGTTTCTGCGAAAAAAAATCTTTTAAACTCGCAGGGGTGGCGCCCCGACAGGGCGCGACTTATTTGCTCTCTATAGACGGTATATAAAAATAAAAGTTGATTGCGGTTACACACTGTTTATCCGATGGCCATCAAACTTTAGGGAGTTTATTAGAACACTACATGGAAGGGTTCTGCAAGAAAAATCTTTTTTAATTTCGCAAAGGCGGCGCCACGGAAGGGTGCGATTTTTCTCTAGATACAGTATATAAAAATAATAAAAGTGAAATGTACTAACACCGTTCACATGATTGCCATGAAACTCATGGAAGATGTTGAGAATACTCCTGGAAAGGTTTCTGTGCAAAAACAAATCGAATTCGCAGGAGTGGCGCCCCGGTAGGGCACGATTTGTTTTCTCTATATACGGTATATAAAAAAATAAAAGTCGATTTCGATTTCGGTTTGACTCCATTCATCCGATCGCCATGAAACTATGTTGAGTTGATTAGAACACTCCAGGTGAGGTTTCTGTAAAAAAATATTTTGCAAGGGCGGCACCCCAGGAGGAAGAGATTCATCTCTATATAGGATATATTAAAATAAAAAAAAGTCGAAAGCGGTTTGAAATCGTTTATCTGAGTTCCATACAATTTTGGGGAGTAAATGAATACTCCCGTGAAGGTTTCTGGGGGGGGGGGGATTTAATTTCGCACGGGCAGCCCGGCAGGATGCGATTTGGCGCCCTGTTCTTTCCCGTGAGTGCTATGGCGACTACGTATGTTCTTAACAGTGTGATAGACAATTTATAAGATGGAACGTTACAGTCGCTCACTAATTTGAATCAGGCGTGTCCGGCGGCGCCATGGTAGGATGCGATTTGGCTGCGAAAATTTTTTTCAATTTCCGCCCCCAAAGGCTCACATAAGCCGGTGAGGGCCCTGTTATATATTTTTTAAAAATAATCACATACATTAACCAAGGTTAGATAGATTATTAACTGGGTTGTTTCATTTTGTCCATAAAAAATCCAAACAGTTTCGTCACTTTGCGAATGATGCTATTGGCATCTATTTTTAGACGATCCAATCAGAAATTGAGATCGAGCTTCTAATAATGCACCATTAGTAACACTAACAAATTACATCAGTAACACTGATGTTTATAAGACATGAAATACATTTTTTCTTATGTGTTAAAGAAAACATCCTGCTGATTCGTGTCACTTTAGCGAATGACACAATCTGCATCATTGTTTCAGGATACTAAGTGGCGCTCTGGGTTATGCTGCGAGCACCTTGGCGCCTATGTTAATTTTAAGTAGCCAGTAATCGTGGGGGGCTCCCGAGAGCGCCTCTCTACTTCTCTGACACATGGGCGGTCACCGAAGTGTGTTCTACCTCATTATTTCGGTGAGTGATTAATGTACACTCAAGGTTTTCATGAGGTAGTGTAGGTAAACCCGTGTCCCGATATTTATGATCCAAGCGCAGGCATTGTTTACATTTGAATAACTCTGTTTTAGAAAACAAGGTCACGCGTCTAAGAACATAGGATTGGCAACGCATTGACGAAACCTTCTTATATAATTCGTCAGACTTTCTTCGATACCCGAGGCAACGCCGGGACGGGTACGCTAGTATAGGCTATATATATATATATATATATATATATATATATATATATATATATATATATATATATATATATATATATATATATATATATATATATATATATATATATAAAGCACTTCCCGGCGCCACAGGCGCTTCAAATTTGGCAGGATCCTGCCATGGGGCAATAGAACACGAGGGTCGGTGCCGGTTGGCCGGAAAGGGGGTCAAAACTGACTTCGACTGACTCGATTATTACGGAAATTTTTTTTTGCCAAACGACCCCCCTTAATATTTTGTGGGGGTTGGTAGGAGAACGCCTAGGGTTGTCAAAAAAAAAACTCGGCATATCTGGGAAAACTTCGTAAAGTCGTCAAAACTGACCAGTCGTATTTTCCTATATAATCTTGGTATTTTATGGGAAAAAACAGCGTAATTTTGACACAATTTGTAAGGTACTTAACCTCTGTATATCTGGCTAATTTTTTGCATGCACCTCTAAAGAGCATTAGCAATTCAATACTAAAATAAAAAATGCGATGAACTTACTGGCAATAATCCAAACAAACTAGAGGCTATATTTATCACAGCGTCCTAGATTAAAAATAAAATTTTTAAAATGTTTTTAAGTCTAAAAATGTACACACACGGAAATTAAAGCAAAAAAATAAATTAACCGGGAGTGATCTCCCCTAAACTTTCTCGAATATTCTTATATAACTCGGAACTTAGACATGATTTTCAATTACTTAAACTTTTAAAAATAGAGTAGAATCTCGTAAAAAAAAATAAATAAATAAATAAATAAAATAAAAAATTAACTTACCGTTAGATAGGTATCAGGTAGTCTCTATGAAAATAAAGCAACCGATTTTCGAAAAAAAAAATTAAAATAGTAAAATAATGTTTTTTAAAATCATTTTTTCATAAGTCGATATTAAAATAAAAGTTTGGTTTACAGTTTACATGTTTTACATAAAAGTAATTGAAATCTTACCCGTGCATCTTTGTCGGATAAAGGCTATAATACATACAGAGGCGTAGCGACCCTACCCAGCGCCCTGGGACAAACTTTTCGATTTGCACCCCCACCCCTCAAGATTTCGATTTGCATCCCCCCTCAAACTTTTGATTTGCACCCCCCCCCCACCCGTCAAGATTTCGATTTGCATCCCCATCCCTCAACCTTTCAATTTATTTTTCCAACACATTTTGAAGCCCCCTAAGGTCGGCGCCCGGGGAAATTTGTCCCCCCCCCGCCCCCCCCCCTCGCTACGCTACTGAATACATAAACAAAACTTGTTAGAAATCAGACTAGTTCTTTTATCTCTATATCTTTATATATATATATGTTCATATATATATATATATATATATATATATATATATATATATATATATATATATATATATATATCTTTATATATATATATGTTCATATATATATATATATATATATATATATATATATATATATATATATAATATGTAATATACATATATATATATATATATATATATATATATATATATATATATATATATATATATATATATTTATATTTATATATATATATATATAATAAATTTAGCAGTGAGACATTTTAACCTACCCAAAAATTATTGGTGATAAACTTGGCATTATCAATCAACTCTGGACTTTTCAATACGGGGTCTAGACTCTTTACAGCCTAAGTCAAATTTACGACAGTTTAAAAAAATGAAAACATGCAAGTTTGTGATTGATGTAACGGCTTTGGCAATCAGACTTCTCCTCACACTCTCTAAATATTTTTACTTTTTTTTCTTTAACCACCCTCAGCTACCTAACCTTCAAATACCCCAGCCACCAAAACCCCACCCTTAACCACCCCACCCTCAAATACTCTACCTTCAAGTACCCCAACCTCAACTACCCCACTGCCATCAACTACCCCAACTGCCATCAACTACCCTTAACTACCCCACTCAACCACCCCACCCACATCTTACCCACCCACAACTACCTAACTCTCTTTTTATCTACCTCTGCCTCCCCCACCACCTATAAAAACAAACTCACATATCGGACGTTTCAAACATTAACATTTAAAGCGTAATTGTTTCTCAATAATATTAAAATATCTCTCTTTTTTCTAAATGTGTTTCAATATTTATTTCGAATTTTGTTTTTTTAAAGTGATTTTGCTTAGAATGCGATTAAAAGTTTGAAAATACTTTCATAGCGATCAGAATGTGCTTAAGATTAAAAATAAATTATAATAATAAGTTCTACACATGTATGGTAAAATAAGTGTAGCATAATATTTGTATTTTTTTTTCAAGCCTTATAAAATAAATTGTTAAAATTTATTTGGAACAATAAAAGCAACTTACAAGACCAGTAGACATGCTCTTCATATCGTCCTAGATTACACGGAATTTAAAAAGAAGTAAGAAAAAAATTCAACACAGTTTTTATAGTTGCATTGTTATGTTTCAAGTTATAAACAGGAAAAGTTACTATGACTTAAAAATTAAAATAATCACTCACACAATACAAACTATATTAAAAAAAAAGATTATCAGTGTAAAAAAAATTAAAAACATACCATTCCCAAGGGTCCCCTAGATTGCTAATCAAAAAGAAAAACAATTAAAAAAAAAATGTTTACTTTTTCAAATCAAATTTTATTACAATGATTAAGTTTAATAAATCTTTGATGCGATGCTTTGGTAAGTTTAACAAATACTTTTAATTCAAAATTATTATGCGTAAAAAAAAGTAAACAAAACCATATTGACAGTAAAAAAAAAGTTCAAATCAACTGAAATCATCGTACATACTATTAAAATTTTGCTGTGAGATAGTTTGTCTGACGTCATTTGTCCATGGTAAAAATTGTCCTAATATATTTTGTCCTGTTATCTTTTGTCCGTGAGATCATTTGTCTTGGGATTATTTGTCCTGAGATCATAATTTTGTCCTTTCACCATATTATGTATACACACACATACCTATATATATGTATATATATATATATATATATATATATATATATATATATATATATATATATATATATATATAAATAAGCAATGTATGTGTGTCTCTGTGTGTGTGTGTGTGTCTTTTATGCATTACCACACCTCTTATCACATCGCCGTGAAACTTTGGGAAGTTGTTGAGAATATTCCTGTGGAGGTTTCTGCGAAAAAAAATCTTTCAAACTCGCAGGGGTGGCGCCCCAACAGGGCGCGACTTATTTGCTCTCTATAGACGGTATATAAAAATAAAAGTTGATTGCGGTTACACACTGTTTATCCGATGGCCATCAAACTTTAGGGAGTTTTTTAGAACACTACATGGAAGTGTTCTTCAAGAAAAATCTTTTTTAATTTCGCAAGGGCGGCGCCACAGGGAGCGTGCGATTTTTCTCTAGATACAGTATATAAAAATAATAAAAGTGAAATGTACTAACACCGTTCACACGATTGCCATGAAACTCATGGAAGATGTTGAGAATACTCCTGGAAAGGTTTCTGTGCAAAAAAAATCGAATTCGCAGGAGTGGCGCCCCGGTAGGGCACGATTTGTTTTTTTTTCTCTATATACGGTATATAAAAAAAATAAAAGTCGATTTCGATTTCGGTTTGACTCCATTCATCCGATCGCCATGAAACTGTGTTGAGTTGATTAGAACACTCCAGGTGAGGTTTATGTAAAAAAATATTTTGCAAGGGCGGCACCCCAGGAGAAAGCGATTCATCTCTATATAGGATATATTAAAATAAATGAAAGTCGAAAGCGGTTTGAAATCGTTTATCTGAGTTCCATACAATTTTGGGGAGTAAATGAATACTCACGTGAAGGTTTCTGGGGGGGGGGTTAATTTCGCACGGGCAGCCCGGCAGGATGCGATTTGGCGCCCTGTTCTTTCCCGTGAGTGCTATGGCGACTACGTATGTTCTTAACAGTGTGATAGACAATTTATAAGATGGAACGTTACAGTCGCTCACTAATTTGAATCAGGCGTGTCCGGCGGCGCCATGGTAGGATGCGATTTGGCTGCGAAAAATTTTTTCAATTTCCGCCCCCAAAGGCTCACATAAGCCGGTGAGGGCCCTGTTATATATTTTTTAAAAATAATCACATACATTAACCAAGGTTAGATAGATTATTAACTGGGTTGTTTCATTTTGTCCATAAAAAATCCAAACAGTTTCGTCACTTTGCGAATGATGCTATTGGCATCTATTTTTAGACGATCCAATCAGAAATTGAGATCGAGCTTCTAATAATGCACCATTAGTAACACTAACAAATTACATCAGTAACACTGATGTTTATAAGACATGAAATACATTTTTTCCTATGTGTTAAAGAAAACATCCTGCTGATTCGTGTCACTTTAGAGAATGACACAATCTGCATCATTGTTTCAGGATACTAAGTGGCGCTCTGGGTTATGCTGCGAGCACCTTGGCGCCTATGTTAATTTTAAGTAGCCAGTAATCGTGGGGGGCTCCCGAGAGCGCCTCTCTACTTCTCTGACACATGGGCGGTCACCGAAGTGTGTTCTACCTCATTATTTCGGTGAGTGATTAATGTACACTCAAGGTTTTCATGAGGTAGTGTAGGTAAACCCGTGTCCCGATATTTATGATCCAAGCGCAGGCATTGTTTACATTTGAATAACTCTGTTTTAGAAAACAAGGTCACGCGTCTAAGAACATAGGATTGGCAACGCATTGACGAAACCTTCTTATATAATTCGTCAGACTTTCTTCGATCCCCGAGGCAACGCCGGGACGGGTACGCTAGTATAGGCTATATATATATATATATATATATATATATATATATATATATATATATATATATATATATATATATATAAAGCACTTCCCGGCGCCACAGGCGCTTCAAATTTGGCAGGATCCTGCCATGGGGCAATAGAACACGAGGGTCGGTGCCGGTTGGCCGGAAAGGGGGTCAAAACTGACTTCGACTGACTCGATTATTACGGAATTTTTTTTTTTGCCAAACGACCCCCCTTAATATTTTGTGGGGGTTGGTAGGAGAACGCCTAGGGTTGTCAAAAAAAAAAACTCGGCATATCTGGGAATACTTCGTAAAGTCGTCAAAACTGACCAGTCGTATTTTCCTATATAATCTTGGTATTTTATGGGAAAAAACAGCGTAATTTTGACACAATTTGTAAGGTACTTAACCTCTGTATATCTGGCTAATTTTTTGCATGCACATCTAAAGAGCATTAGCAATTCACTACTAAAATAAAAAATGCGATGAACTTACTGGCAATAATCCAAGCCAACTATAGGCTATATTTATCACAGTGTCCTAGATTAAAAATAAAATTTTAAAAATGTTTTTAAGTCTAAAAATGTACACACACGGAAATTAAAGCAAAAAAATAAATTAACCGGGAGTGATCTCCCCTAAACTTTCTCGAATATTCTTATATAATCGGAACTTAGACATGATTTTCAATTACTTAAACTTTTAAAAATAGAATAGAATCTCGTAGAAAAAGAATTGCGCACCAAGCGAACGCCAAAACAAAATGTGCATAATAGTGCGCAATATTATTAGTACTTTTTAAATTTACATGCGGTTTTTGAGAAATCGGAAATAGCGTAAATTAGTACTTTCGGTCAACGGAAATTACTCACAATTTGACAGAAAGTAGAGAATTAGATCTTTTACCTACATGTGAAATTTCATTGATCTATCCGAAATAGTACTTAAATTATAGGCTTTTAAAAAATTCAAAGTAGAAAAAGTACCACTTCCGTTTATCGGAAATCGCTCAAAAATTGATACGGATCAACGATTTTGATAAAATACTTATATGAAATTTCATCAACCTAGCTGTAACGGTACTCAAGTTATCGTGTTTACACAAAGACAGACAGACAGACATACGGACAAGATTGCAAAATTATGTTTTTTCGTATCAGTGAGGTGTAAAACGTCGAGATTTGTGAAAATCTCGATTTTTTTTTGCACGATTACAAGAATTTTTCTATACTTCGTATATACGAGAAAGCAAAAAAAAAAGACAAATAAATGAAAACTTTACCTTGTTTTCATATCGACAAAAGAAATTACCAAAATAAATAAAAAATTAACTTACCGTTAGATAGGTAGGCCTATCAGGCAGTCTCTATAAAAATAAAGCAACCGATTTTCGAACAAAAAAATTAAAATAGTAAAATAATGTTTTTTTAAATCATTTTTTCAAAAGTCGATATTAAAATAAAAGTTTGGTTTACAGTTTACATGTTTTACATAAAAGTAATTGAAATCTTACCCGTGCATCTTTGTCGGATAAAGGCTATAATACATACAGAGGCGTAGCGACCCTACCCAGCGCCCGGGGACAAACATTTCGATTTGCACCCCCACCCCTCAGGATTTCGATTTGCTTCCCCTCTCAAACTTTTGATTTGCACCCCCCCCCCCCCACCCGTCAAGATTTCGATTTGCATCCCCATCCCTCAACCTTTCAATTTATTTTTCCAACACATTTTGGCGCCCCCTAAGGTCGGCGCCCGGGGACATTTGTCCCCCCCCCCGCCCCCCCCCCCCCCCCCCCTCGCTACGCTACTGAATACATAAACAAAACTTGTTAGAAATCAGACTAGTTCTTTTATCTCTATATCTTTATATATATATATGTTCATATATATATATATATATATATATATATATATATATATATATATATATATATATATATATATATAGTTGAAATACTTACTGCAGTTTCATTTTGTTCAGCTAATGCTACAACCACCAACATTGATAGACCAAAAACGACGCAAACTTTCATGATGGTTGTGTACCGTTCGACGGATTTTGGTCGATGGTTTTCGTAAGATGGGTTTTGGTCGAAAGATAACTGTAATAAAATTTAATTACGCTAAAAATATTGTCTAAAATTAAAGGGGGAGGGGGGATTGAAAAAACCTTAGCATTCGTTTCATTTTGTAAATCTTATGTTACTTCGAAGTAAGTCAAGTACCCTTTCGAACCTGACGGTCATTGGGGCTTATGAAGTAGAGTTTGTTTCAATGAGCTCGGCTTATGAATGGACAGTGTAGTCAGCACTAAGCTCAGCTGACTTAAGTTATTTAACGCAAGCCAGGTACCCATAAGAGC